CCTTGAGCCCTAAATCCCAAACCCCAAGCTCTAAGCCTTGAGCCCTAAACCCTGAGTCCCGGATTCGGAGCCCTGAACAGCAAACCCTCAACCCTGAATCCCAAGCTTTCTAGAAGCCTGAGCCCTAAATCCTGCACCCGGTTTGGGGTTTCGGGCTTAGGGTTTACGGGGGGCTTCAGGGCCTTACTTCCCCGAGTGTTTTTCTTATGAAACCCTGAACCCTCAGCCCTAACCGCTCGTAGGTGTCGGTGAAATCTCCGAGCTCAGATCAAAATACCGCCGTCAAGTGTAAGCCTAGAGGGCCTAGAACCCAAGTAGGGTTTAGGGTGGGGTTTAGGGTTTAGGGTTTGGAGTTTAGAGTTTAGGGTTTACGGAGATCACGAAACCTACAGCTCGAATGCACAGGCCCTTGTTGGATGCCCTGAGCCTAACGGTAACTTTAGGGTTTAGGGTTTAGGGTCCAAATAGCGCTGGGACTGCAGACTGCAGGCGAGGCGATTGCCATGGCGCGTGCGATTCGGGACCAGTCCGAGGACGGGCACTTTCGAGCCATTTTGCTGACGCAAAACCCTACATAGGGTTTAGGGGTTTAGGGGTTGAGGGGTTTAGGCAGTTTCAAATTTACAGCTTCAAACGGTGGCATGGGATCGCACACTGCACGTCCGAAGCATTTGTGCGTTGGGGTTTGAAGTTTAGATTTTATTCGTGTGGGAGTTTAGGGTTCAGGGGTTGAGGGTTTACCCAGAGAGCCCCATACCCCTTAATTAAGGAATATACCTTAAATCATAAGGGGCTTAATATTATGAGTTAAGGCATATTCCTTAATGAACGGGGTATTGGGCTCTCTGTGTAGGGCTCAGGGTGTTGTCCGGGGGCTTGCAAGCGCCTCCAGCTCATGGCAATCTTCCCAAAACGTCCCGTCCGCTCCCAATCCCTATTCCGTGGGTTTTCTAAGAACCGGGGAATATATATATATATGTATATATATACATACATATCATATATAGAGAGATATATAGAGCTTCGTTTGAAAAGCTGTCAGGCTCAGTTGCGTGCACCAGTTGAGGGCCCTTCGCACGAAGTGCTAGGAAGCATGGCATCCAATCCGCAGTGCTGGCAAGTGCCCCTGCCCGTGGGGTTGGTTCGACAGAATTCCTGGCCTTCGCCGACACAAGCCCACATGGGCCAGCAAGGGCACAAGATGCGCAGTGACGCCAGGGAGTTTGTCCCTGGGTCAATGTCCACGGCTGTCTGGACACAAGCACAGTTGGACTTGGCCCGGCAAGGGCTCCGCTATGAAGCCGCTGAGTTTGTTCCCCCATCCATTCTCGACTTTGGGCTTTGCCCTGGCACGATGTCGGCAGAGGACGGTGGTCAAGACCCTATACTGTCGGTGCTGTGCAGCCGCAGGGATCAGCCGGAAGGTGAAGAGGAGGACCTCCAATTTGGGGTGCAGAGCTCTGATGGAGGCCTGGAATCCAAGAGGAAGGCGCAGCTTCATCCAGCAGCAGTGGATCTGGCGCCCGGGGATTGGTCATGTTGCCAAGCAAGCGAAGCCGTGGTGCTGGAACACAACACTTATGGTTCTACTCAGCTCGAAACGTCGCACATGCACATGCGTGCTGAAGAGACTCATGATCCTGCCATGGCACGAAGCAGCAGGAGCAGTGTTGAAGAGCCAGGAGCTCATGTTGACAGCTGGGCTCCTCTAGCTTTGATGGATGTGGCGCACGATGGTTCAGTGCAGCCAGGTCCGACGCAGTCTTGTCCTGCCGGGTCCCTGGCAGCAACTTTAGCTTTTTATTCAATGGGCTGCCCAGAAAATGAAGCTGTTTTGGTGGAGCACAGCACTCATGGCATTGTTGAATTCAAGAACTCCCCCATGCACGATGAGAAGAATCATGACGTTGTCATCGCCCGAAACAGCGAGAGCAGCGTTGAAGAGCCCCAGGTGGCTGACAATGACAGCTGGGCTCCTCCAGCCTTCACGGACGTGGAGCACGATGGTTCAGAAGACTCGGCTCAGCTGCAGTCTGGCACGTCACAATCTCTGGCAGCTGCCTCAACGCGGAGAGCACCATCTCAGAATGTGGTGCCAGATGGCGCCCTCCCCTTTCAGATTGAGTCGGGCATCGAGTACGAGCGAGGCTGGGTCAAGTACAAGCATCCAGTCAGCGCAGAGATCTGGTTCCACAATGAACGCACCGACGACTGCTTCTTTGCGCAGAACAGCGCTGAGTGGGGCTGGGTTCTGTTTGAAAGTCACGAGGGGCAGCTGTGGTGGTGGCACGAGCAGCGCAAAGTCTTCTTCTTCGAGGGCCTGAAGTAGTTGTGGGCGGACTGCAAGGTCTTTGAGTCATTATGAAGATGTATGCTGTCGAGAGTGCTGCAGAGCGCAGGTCAACTTGCGCAGATTAGGCGCTGGAGGTGGGAGCATTGACAAAGAGAGCAGACTGCTTGAGCTTGCCCGAATCCTAAAACCGTACTAACCCCCTGAACTCAACCCAACACCCTATGCCCTAAAGCCTAATTCCTACAGCCCTAAACCCTTAGACCCTAAACCCTACAGCCCTAAACCCTAAACCCTAAACCCAACACCCTCAACCACAGTTTTGCTATGTTTTGTTTCTCAGCTTTGGAGGTTTTGGGGGGGGCAGGGTCGCGGGAGTTCCTATGAGGTTCAGGGTTTAGGGTTTGTTGTTCCGGGCTTGGGGTCTACAGGTGCTGCCTTGGTGTTCCTCACAATCCCATTTTCATGAGCCCCCAAAAAGTTGGAAACCGGATTAAGGACAATCAATGCGGGGATTCCCTATGCATTAGTCTTAAGGATTGAGGCTATTGGGTTTCCAACTTTCGGGCTTTTACTGTAGTAGAGTAGGTAAACCTTAACCTTCTAGGACCCAGAGTAGGCCCTTATTCCCTTTTTTAGGGTTCAGGTTCCCTTATAAAGTCCTTTAAATCAAAAAGGGCACCCTTTTTATTCCTAGGTTTCTCTTGGGTCTAGCCTTCATAGGAAGTTACAGCCCCTACGTCTCCTCAAAAGGTTAACCTTTAGTTGCCCCCAGGATACTGGACAAGTAGGATAGAGCCGGTTAGACTAGATACCAAAGCAGGGTCTTAGATGTAGGGTTTAAGGTTTAGGGTTTAGGGTCATGATCATGTCTAAGGGGCTTGGAATCTTCGGCCTTCGCAGTTCAGGGTTTCCGATGCTCGGACATGGAGGCATAGGTTCCGGGTGCTTACCCGCCTAAGCCGACAACACCCTAAGCCATAAACCCTAAAACTCGCAATCCCTTAAACCCCTACGTAAACCCTAAACCCCTACACCCTATCTCTGCCTTTGCTACTAGAAGAGCTTCTTCCGCATCCTTCGAAGTGGGGGTCTGAGGTACAATTAAAGCCTCACAGGTGACTAGTACTATTCCTCGGGATTCATTAGCATTATGAGCACCATAGTTGTTATTATGCTAACAACAATAATAATGATGATAGTTGATAGTAGTAGTAACACTACATACTATTAATAGTAATAACGTTGATTACTACTGTTGGTTCGTTATTGTATACTATACCATGCCCGTTACTCTGGCCCCCACCTTTACCAAAGTAATGAAGCCAGCGGCCCCCTAAACCCTAAACCCTAAACCGAGGCTTCGGGTTTAGGGTTTAGGGTTTAGGGTTGGGGTTTAGGGTTTAGGGTTTATGGTTTAGGGTTTAGGGTTTAGGGTTTAGGGTTACTCCGGAAACCTCGGGGCTTTGTTGAAGCCCGACGTTCGCGAGGAGGCACGAGGCATCCTTACGGCTCTTTGCCAAGAGGTCGGCCGCGGGGTTTTATAGGGTTCATAGGGTTTTAGGGTTTGGGGTTTAGGGTTTAGGGTTTGGGGTTTAGGGTTTAGAGTTTAGGGTTTGGGTTTAGGGTTTAGGGTTTAGGGTTAGGGCGGTTTGGGCTTTAGGGTTTAGGGTTTAGGGCTTTACATGGGAGACCTAAGGTCTGAAAGACCTAACAAGAGCTGAGTCGGCACCCCCCCCCTTTCCTACGGTTGCTGATATAAATCCTGCGTTGCCCATCAGAAGGAATATGCAGTAATTCCCATAGATTCGGGTCCTTCAGGTAATGCAGGATTTATATCATCAACAGTAGAAGTCTGACCCTAGACCCTAAACCCTAAAGCCAAAACTCGAAACAACAGCCTCCAGAAGTGTAGCACGTAGCAAAGCTGAGACCTACCTAGAGTAATTTCAGGTGTTTTGATGCACTGGGGGTTTAGGGCTGAAGGATTAGGGTTTAGGGTTTAGGGTTTAGGCGTGTAGGGTTTAGGGTTTATGGTCAGGTCCTTTTCTCTTCCCTACCCATGGGGTCTAAACCCTAAGCCTTAAGCCGTGTCTTCGCATTCCTTCCCCCCACCAGGTTTCTCACATGAACTCGTGCGCGAACCTGCATGGCCACGGCCGAGATGACATGACGGAGGAGGTCACCGCAACTTAAAGTTTCGGGTTTGGGGGTGTAGTCTTTAGGGGTTTAGGCTTAGGGTTTTAGGGTTTATAGGGTTTAGGGTTGATATGCCGGCCGTGATACCTAGAAGTTTTTTCTGTGGTATACTCTGATACATGTTTAATACGGAGCTGTAAGGATTCGGGATTACAATTGGGTAAGCATCTAGGCATATTTAGGCTTTTAGGCTTCTGTATGAAGGTCTAAGCCCTCTGGGTTCTGGAGAGGGCAAACTACAGCGATTGAGTTCGGGGTGTGGTAAGGTGGCTTAGGGCCCTAAACCCTAAACCCTAAACCCTAAACCCTAAACCCTAAGCCCTAAACCCTAAATCCTAAACCCTAAGCCCTAAACCCAGGGTTTCGGGGAGGTTGAGGGCCGCGGCAAGCATCAGAGTAGGGTTCTGGGGTGCACTGGTATACTTACATGCGGACCATCAGGGTTTAGGGTGTAGGGTTTAGGGTATAAGTGCTAAGAGCCCGACGGTTGATGAAATAAATCCTGCATTGCCCATAATAAGGAATCTACCATAATTCCCATAGTTTAGGGTCCTGAACAGGTAATGCAGGGTTTATGTTATCAACCGTAGTAGACTTACATTCGGACCATCAGGGGGATATAAGTGCTAAGAGCCCTAGTAATCCCCGAACATCCCTCTAAGGCTGCCATTGTAGATCCCTTTTCCAGATCCCTTCTAAAGCAACCCAGATGGATGATAGATCCCTTCTAAAGGAGCCCTTGTAGATCACATTGTAAAGGAGCCCTGGCAGCTCCTTCGAAGGAATCCTGATACAGTAGATCCTTTTTAAAGGGAACCTTGAAAGGCGAGGTGATTATAGAACCCTATACATAACATCCCGTAAAGGGGGACCCTATCATAGAATCCTAAAGTACCCTTTAAAGGATGTGAATCTTTGTCAGGTCCTTGTGGCTGCTTCTTCGTTGCTTCTTCGAAATGGGGGCTCGGGCGTGGAGGCTGCAGTGCGGCGTTTTTTGGCGGCCCAGGCGCAAGCTCTTTCTTGCCGGTTTGGGGCTTCGGGTTTTGGGATTACCCATAGGCCCCTAAGTAGTTCCTTTTGGGATTACCTTAATTATACATTGTAGGATTCTAAATATATACCATGAAAAGGAACTACTTAGGGGCCGATGGGTAGGGTACAGGGCTCTGGCCTTTGGGCGTTGGGTTTTAGGCTTTCCGGACTGGAGCTCAGTGTGCTCTTTGTCCATGGGTGGCAGCACGTCGCCATGTCATATTTTGGACCCTCAGTGTTTGGAGACACACCACCTCTATATACCTGATCATATATAGGGGCCTTAATTAATAATCACCTATTCTATTGTTGGGCGGGGTTCCCTATTATAGGTATAGTCTAACCCCTAAACCCTAAACCCTAAACCGGGGTTCCTTATTATAGGTGTAGTATAACATACCCAGAAGCTTCTTCTTCTTCCTAAAATCACCTAAACCCCCCCCTCAAAAAAAAATGTTGCCCCTACTGGAAGGAACCCCAAAGCCTAAACCCTAAACCTTGGGTATCGCCCCCTACAGTAACAGTCTATAATAGGGCAACTATCAAGGGCCTTATGTCTTCATATTATGAAAGTTACTCAACTGCTACTGAGTGGGGGGCAGTATCTAACCTAAACCCCTCAGCTTCGAGCAGCAAGAATAGACGAGGCTCTGTGTTAGAGGTTACCTAACCCTAGGCCCTAAACCCGAAGCCCTCGCCCCTAAACCGTCAACCCCCAAGAAGAGTTTGGGGTCTAGGTTTTCTAGGGCAGGCTTCGAAGCTTTCAGCATCAAACCCCCTCAACGAATCCTTAGAGCAGCCCTTCTAAACAAATTCAGGAAGCTTCTTAAAAGCCCTCCAAGGAGCCCTCATGGAGTTCATGAAAGCGCCACTACAGGAGCTAAGCCCTAAACTTGCCCTAAAACCCAAAACCCCGAGCCCTAAAATCCTAAGCCCTAAACCCTAAACAAAGTTTAGGGTTTTGGGCTTAGGGCTTAAAGCGTCCGAGCCAGGTGCTGTCGAGCTTTGCGGAGGTGCGCAGTTACCTGGCCTCCATCTCCAACTTTGTCATGGAGGTCAGGGCTTAGGGTTTAGGGTTTAGGGTTTAGGGTTCAAGGTTTAGGGTTTAGGGTTTAGGGTTCAAGGTTTAGGGTTTAGGGTTTAGGATCTTAGGGTCTTAGGGTCTTGGGGTCTTAGGGTTCAAGGTTTAAGCATCAGCTTTCAGATTCCAAAGCCCTAAACCCCAAGGGCCTGCCCACCATGGGCTCTGGAGCGCAAGCGACGATAAAGGCCCTTGAAAACCCCTAAACCCTAAAC